AGTTTCGTGATATTAATACGGCTTTGTCGGCAGCGGGTCTTTGAATTTTGAATCTTTTGCATGAGACGAATTTGGCATTGTGCCCGTGGCTGATGTATGCCGCGAGGTGAAACGAAAGCAGTCCTTCTGCTGACTTTGTCATCATCGTTGCGTCGCGACACTGCCAAAATAGCGAACAAAGTAGGAAGAGTACTACGTCTTATTGACGTCAACTGCACACCATGGAATTTATTGAAATATACAATCACGTATATTGAATCAATGTTTTTCTTAACGATGACTGTGTAAACTCAATCTTAGTCATGTTACGGCACATGCTATAAAATATTGTAATAAAGTATTTTTTTCTTTTGCTAATATTATATTTAATTTCTTACATTCTTAGCTAGCAAAGTAACAAGATAGCAATGACGTCTTTAATGACATTTTAATGTCAAAATGACAATAAATAACTTGCTACCTGGGTTTATATATAAGAAAATTATGTTGTATAGTCACTTAAAAAAATTACATAAAATACTATGCGTTGAAACTCGGCATTAATGCCAAGGTCTCTATTTGCAGAAGAATATCTCTATGTAAGCATATTTTTACATGATTAAAAAGTAAGATATTGAAATACAAAAGAAATGCATTTTATACACTGAGAAAAAAGTTGTTTGTTTCAAAAAAACCTGAGTTGTTTTGTTTCAAAAAAATATTATAATAGTTGGTTCAACTAAATACAGCGGTCCCAAATCACAGTAGACTCAAACAAATATTTACGTCTATTAAGCTGGCACAGCCACTTCAACACAATCAAACGCGACCTATACCACATTTTTTTGCTATTTTTTTGCTAATTTTTTGCTCTATTCCCGATTTTATTGCTCCAGCCGATTCGCTAAAACTCATGGCTGTGCTAGCTTAAGATCAAAGTTAGCACAGCCACAAAGAAAAAAAGCAGCAAATGAAAAATCAAGTACATATTCTTGAAGGGCTATTTTTTTGCTAATTTTTTGCTCTATTCCCGATTTTTTTGCTCCAGC